GGCCGCGAACAGCCTGCACTGGGGCCGTCCTGTGCTCTGCGCCTGCTGCGACCAGGAATGCTGCGGTTGATGTTGGCCCTGTTGCGACCCGTATGGCGAAGGGCGGCCGAACTTGCCTTTGCCGGAGCCTTTCTCGCCCTTCTTGCCTTTCTCTCCTCCTTTCTCGTTGCCCTTGAAAGGACGGTCGGGCGGGACCCACCTGCTCATAGCGTCTTGCTTGGCCTGCGGACTTGTCACTTCGGCTGCTGCCTGAGAGAATGTCTTGCCCGAACGCAAAGCCATGGCCATCTCCCAGGACGCCTTCTTCCAATACTGGCGTATCTGGGCGAACCTGCTGGCGTTGTCGCGGGTGAGGTCCTCCCAAAAAGCAAAGTAATCGCCAACGTCTGCATTGGGTCCCCATCGGGCGAACATGAAGGCGAACTTGCAGGCCTCGAACGCGTCGAGCATGGTGACCATGCGTTGTGGCTCGGGTATAACCCGAGAAACCTTGGAGAGGGTCCCGTCCTCTGCCGCGAACAACTTGGTGGAGGTCTCCGGCTTAGTCGTCGAGGAGAAAGGATTCACCTGACGAGAGGACGTGAAGTGCCGCGAGAAAAGAACTTCTCCCAAAGGCAGTGCAGTGAAGAGCCCTGACTTCTTTTCTGCGACCATCCGGCCCAACGTCTTTTCTGCGCCCAAGAGCAAGTGGGCAGGGAACTTGCGGTTCCTCCCGTCGACCACTGTGGCCTCGTAGTCTGTCACGAAGTCGTTCCAGTACCCTGCTGGGAGCTCCTGGGACTTGTCGGTCGAACTTGCCGAAGACGAGGCAGGGGCTGTTGCTGGAGTCGGTGCCGGAGAGGCGGCGGCCTTGCTCTGTGCGATAACGTCCAGGAGCTCCAAAATCGTCGCGTGGTCGATGAGAAGCTCGTCGACCGTCCGCCGTCTCGTCGAACCGTCGATCTCGATGCCTCCTCGGAGAGGGTCCAGGAAGGTTGTCACCTTGTCTCGGTCAGCGAACAGGTGGTGTAGAACTCCTGGCACGTCGACTCGCTTTGCCTTGAAGAGCAGCCTTACTGTAGGGTGCACTGCGGCCTTGTCGCACATCGTGTCGAACGGGACCGGGGCGGCCATGGCCCTAACAGTCCTACGACGATGACGAAGAAGAGTCGGACGCTTCCTGAGGTGCCTTACTGGACTCGAGCACTTCAGCCACTGAACTCTCTTCAGGAAAGCACACAGGGCAGTAACGAAAACCTGGCAGCAGTGTAGGATTCCTCTGGCAGCTGGCCTTTCCGTACTTCCACAAACCGCAACCTGATCTCCAATCGCCCGAAGGCGTCGAGCACTCCGTGCTACACGGCTTATGTGCCAACTTAGAGCGAACGTTATGTACAAGGACGCCCTGTCCTCGGAAACAATCTGCGACCACGGCTCGAACTTGGTCGAGGGCGGCCGGAAGCAATGCAAGCTGTTGCGACCTGGGAACCTGAAAACTTGAAGACGCGATCGATGTGCGATTCGCCACCGCCTGTGCTGCCCTGGTGGGGTTAGCCAAGGCTGCCTCTTGGACATAGCGGCAGATCGCTGAACTCCCCCAGCGACCAATAAGCATGATGACGTGTAGGTCCAGGTCTGCTCGTGCGAACAATTGGGCGCCTGCGACCCGGAATGCGTGTTGGGCCCACCGCTGCAAAACTTGTCGGGGCCAATCTTTGAGGTCTCCTTCGCACAGAACCCAAGCGAACGCTCTTGCCAGCCAAACGACCTGTGCCTTAGTAGGGGGGCCTGATCCGTCTCCGAAGAAAGGTGACTTCGGGGCCCAGCGACCGGACTTTCGAAGGCGGACGGCGCACCGTAGCGCCGCGTGGTAAGGGCACAATGGGTGCCGACCGAGAGTGCACTCACACTGCTGCAACGGAGTAAAGAGCAACGCCTCGTCGCCCGACCTACTGCAACCTGGGTCATGGTTCCTGGAGCAGATACAGGCATGTGTTCGCGAACAGCCGCGAGCCGAGGCGTCATTCTTGGAAACCGGCAGTTCCAGCTTAACCATGCCCTCTCGTGAGAAGGTGACATCTTCGCACACGACCGAAGAAATCTCGAGACCTCGGAGAAGGAACCATGCGGCCACGACACCTGTATCCGCTGGTGCCTCGACCCGGTGGATGTCGGGAACCTGGAGAGACGAATATGCTCTCTCGACTTCCCGCTCGAAATTGCGCGAACACGCTTCCAAGGGGAAGTCCAGTTTTGCTGCCGAAGGCCCCATTCCTCTAGTAATAGAGCGAACTGCTTGTGCGACCGCATGGTCCAACGAAGGCGACCATTCATGGCCCTGGGAGCGATGTTCCGACTTGGCGACACTATAGTACTGGGCTGCTGACCGGTAACGTGCCTGTTTGAAAAGGGCTCCGACCTTGTCGATAAGTTCGACCGTGACTGGCAGCGGAGGGAGGTTTCGCTGCTCCGCGAGCGAACACCACAACTTCCATCGGGACTCCCGAGGGCCCCTGGAGCTCCTTGCGAACTTATCTTCCTGAAAAGCCTCATCGGCCTTGGACATGGCGTCCTCGCCCCGGATGGCTGCGACCGCTTGCCGCGAACCTCGTTGGTAAGGATGCACGATCGGTGCGTCCGGTCTTGAGCGATTGCGAACCATGGACCTGTTGAACAACTTATCAACGGCCGGGTCTCCGATCCACAACCGCAGATGAGACTTTGGCGTGTTCTCCAACTGTTCTGCGGACCTGACCCCGTGGGATCGCAAAGGCTCGAGAGCACTGTGTAGGTCGAGACTGCCAAGAACGTGTACCAGGCTTGCGAACGAGCCGCGGTCATGACTGCACGGGATGTGATGCATGACTAATTCGGGGACTCGAGGCTGTAACGGCGAACACGGGACGGTCAAACGTCTGCAAGGTCACGAGTACGCGTGCCCCCCCCGAAATGCGACGACACCGACCGACCGAGCGACCTGACGCAGAAACCCCGGGTGAGGACGGGGGTGCCCCACACTCGACCTGGCGACCGCTGCGACGGACGGGGTCGAACGGAAGGACGTCGGGAAACGACAGCGAAGATACTGTGGTCCCGAACACAACCGAACTGCGACTGCACGGCACTGCCTGAACCTTGCATGACCTTCCAGCAGGGACCGTAACCTTAGCCTTGCACGACCTGCCCGACCTAGGAAAAAAAAAAAAAGACGCACGGCACTGCATTGAAGACTGTACCTCATACCTCGGACCTACTGCTGGCTGCACTTGCGGGAGACATGCACAGGAACCGCGACCTCATACCTGGGACCTATTGTACTCTTGCCGTGACGCGGGCTGACAACTTTTGGCTGCGAACAGCAACGGATCTTCCCCGAAGGGGTGAGAGCCCGAAGGCGAACTGCACTGACGTGCTGCAGAAAAGCCCCTTCGAACACAGTACTCCGAACATGCTGGTCTCGACCTAGTCACTCTGGGGCGGCGGCAGCACGCGAACACTCATGTTCGGCTAGGGTTCGCCCTCTTCGCCTCTGTGTGGCAAAACTGACAGAAGTGGTGTTCGTGAACCCTTCTGTATCCCGGGCGGTTCACTCGGGGGCACGCCCGCATCCAGCAGGACGGGCAGCGAACACCGCACACACTGCTCACATCTGTAAAAGGAGGAGGCTCATCTCGAAAAACGGTGCCTGTCTCAACATCCCTTTGCGGCCATGGAGCGGGTAAGCCGACCGGTGCGTACTGAGGAGCCCGTAGCGGACCCGGCGGACCCTGAGCCAAGGCGGCCTGTAGGTCGGGGTAGTCCACGGCAGGGCGACCGCGCTGCGACCGGCGTGTCTCGGCACCTGACGGGAACGAGCTCTGGGGGGGTGCTGCATCCCTGCTCGGTCCTGGGTCGGGCCCTGTCGTCGAACTTGCCGAGGCTGGGCCACCCGTAGTAGTAGCGACCTGGTCCGGAGCGGTGGCCTTCGGCACCTCGGTCGTGGCTGTGGCCTTCCCCGGCTTCGGCTGCTGAGGCATAGGTTTGCTTGGGGGCGACCCTGTAGGCGGAGAGGCCGGAGGTGGTAGAGGCGGGACATTGTCGAGGTCGTCGTCCATAGTGTCCAGGTCTATCACCGCGACCTGAGACGCATCCACCGCCGGGGCCCGTGGTGTCGTCGCGAACTGCGCTGCCTGGAGCATGCCGATCGCGTCCTCGCCTGTCTGAGGTACCATGGTCCCGGCGAACATAGCAGCGACCTGCACCGGCGTCGCCTTAACTTGCACCCCTGCTGTCTTGGCCGGCGGAGGTGAAGGAGTCGGTGCCACTCCGCGACCTTTGCCCTTCTTGCTCAGTGGCGTGGGGCTCGTAGCCACTCTCAACGGTGGCGGGTCGGCCTTCACGAACACTTTGGCGGCGGCGGACATCTGCTTGGGCACGGGCAGCAACGGAGGAGGACCTGTTGTCGGGTCTTTGGCTGCCGGCACTCCCGGTCGACCAGCAACTGCTTGCGACCCTGGCGCCGCGACCTGAGGTCCCTCTGTCACCGCCTTGGCGACCGTAGTCCCTGTTCCCCCAGAGGAGCTTGCCGCCGTCGAACTATGTGTTCCGCGGTCCGTAGGAACTACATCCGGAGCCACCGCACCTGGGGTAGCGACCGGCGTCGTAGTCGAGGCAGCATCCAGGACCTGCTGCTCTATCTGCGACTCCACGCAGCGGTCGAACATCTTGCGGAAGCGAATCAAGTCCGCGACCTCGACACGCTGTGTCAGCGGCTCCAAGTCCTCATACGAACTGTAGAGCACTGTGTGCAACGCGGCCCACAGGTCTGGCGAACCAGAAGTATCTGGCACACCCCACGAACCAGACATGGCTCTGCTTTCGAAAAAGCAAAAACTTCTAGCTCGTACTGTAGGCTCGGGCCTCGTTCTGCGACCGTGGCACGAACTGTTCACTACAGTACTCGCTACGCTTGTCACTACGAACACACGTGTTCTGCACGACAACATCTAAGCGGACTCAGGGTGTCATTTCAACCGAGCATCTCCTCCTCGGCTCCCTTCTCCAAGAGCTCTTTGACAAGGTCGATGTGGCCGTCCCTTGCCGCCTCCATCAGGGCTGTCGTACCTCAGACACAGAAGCTCCCACTCAGACACACAACCGTGCCCGCAACATGCAAACGCCAACCAACGAAAGAACATTGCAGCGGCCTTTCCTGCGTCTGTGGAATCGAGGCTTTTGTGTGCTCACCTACTTGTTGACCGGTGCTTGTTCAACCGAAAGCTGACCGCCAACCGAGATGGCCGATGCCCCCTGGCAGCATCACTTACGCAAGGCTCCGGCCCAGAAGTGCCCGAAACTTCGCGTTCTCGGCGGACAGCTCAAAGACCGTCTTGCCTCCAGCAAAAAGGCATCACACCGTCTGGCTCAGCTTAAGCCAAAGCTGGAATAAGAGGAGTACCTTATCACGGCAAACCGGTCGGCATGCTGAGAGGCATTGAAATGGAGACGAGGCATCAGAATCATAAGAGGCTCCGGCCAGCGCTGCTTTTCAGGCCCTGGGCATGGTGATCACATGAGTCACTGAGTGGAGGAGATGCGATCGCATGCCCTCATCAATTCGATTTAGAGTGGACCACACGGTGTCTTGGAAGCATACTGCGGGACCGTCTCTCGGCATTTATGCCAGGTCACCCTCTTTGCGCCCCTGTCAAGGAGCAGCTTGAAACACTCCTCGTGGCCACCCTGCATGGCGAGCATCAGCGCCGTGTGGCCTGATCATGCGAAGGGCTTTCCGTGACAGAGTGCGACAGACTGCACCGCAGCGTGGCGCCTTCGCTGTTCTGGCAGTCCTTCGCCGCGCATTGCAAGGCCGCTCTGCTCCGCGGCAGGAGTCTTCAATTCCCCAGCCTTCTCGGCGTCCCTTTCCAAGAGCGCTTTGAGGGACTCCGTCTTGCCCTCCCTGGCCGCGAGCATCAGGGCCGTGCTGCCTTGGGCTCTGACTGGTCAGCTCCGATGTGAAATGTGGAATCAGCCCTCCAGATGCACAACCATAGAAAATCCCTTGCTGCACTGAGATTGCACGATCTTCCTTGTTCCGGATGCAAGGCCCGGGCCATCCTCGGATCTGGCATCCTGGTTGCGGCATGCAGGGAGATGGTATGGATCCGATGCGAATGAGGCCCTGGGCCATCTGCCTTGTCCGCACCTTTGTTGAGGAGCCGCTTGACGTCCACATGGCCATGCTGCACCACCACCATCAGGAAAGTCATGCCTCGGGCTGAAAATTGATGCGAAAGGACGCGATGCAACCGTCCCATGCACTTTAGCCGTCTCCAGTTCGTCAACAAGTCTTTTCCAGTGAGCGGGACGTTATAGCCATTCATATACTCGAAAGAACGACCGCTCACTGCGCGCATGCCGGAATCAACATGGCTAGTTTTGGGTGGTGGCGGCTCTTTGCTTTCAGTAGTGGCCCAGTGGAGCCAAGCATGCGATCAGGATTGTGCGTTGCCAACAACCAGGTATGGATGCGAGTCAGAAACGACGGTGAGACCAAGGCATCGGCAGAAAGCGTCACCGGCAGGACCACTGCAAATGTCCATGCAATCGGCACCCGCAAGAACGTGGTATCCAGGGCGTGCATGTGACTGTGAAACGGTGCGAAAAGGGGTGCCCCTAACAATGCCATGTGCAGCTTAAGCCGCCACCTGTCATCTCCATAGCCCCGAAACAAGAGAGCCAAGCAGGGCTTCGACGATCTCCGGCATGCGCGCCCGTTTTGCCAAGTGCAGACTCCTTCTTGGAGACCATTGTGGCTGAGGCCGTGACCAGCATCGTTTTTGGAGTCCTGCAGCAAACAAAGAGGGACCTTTGTTGAGCCAACAGCCCGTTGAACCGCACGAAAGCATCTTCCAACCGATTGCCGCCTGAAGTCCTACCTTTGGAGTGCAGCGTAAGAGAGGAGTTTCCCAAATCTGACCGACTGAGCCCTGGCCTTGTACTGCTCATGAAGGTCGACCAAGAGCTCCAGAGAAGCGGGCTTCTCCTCTGCAACTTCCAGCGCGACATCCAAGGCGGTCTTGTCGTTCTCCTTCAACCAGATGTTGGCCTTGCAGGGTTGGAGTCCTGATATACAACACCGACTAGTAGGATCCTTTTGAAAAGGACCCCTCAATTGGCACCACCAATTGTTCAAACTTTTCCGAGATGTCCGTCGGCCTTGTAGGTCAGCAGCTGCCTGGCCACGGCCGTGTGTCCTTGAGCCAGCGCTCGGTGGAGCGCGTGCTTCCCGTCGTTCGTGGCGCTGTTGGGGTTCGCCCAGGTGCGCAAGTGCTCGACGACCTTCTGCACATTGTCGTCGTAGGCCCTCAGCTTCCGACGGCGAGAACATCACTCAACACGTGGCACCCTCAACAGAGTCATGGCAGAGCAACTGCGGAGCAACTGAGCCGTAAACGCACTGACGAGCTCCGAGCTGTTCTTCAGGCGATGTTTAACCACCTCGCTGAACTCCTCCTTGGCGCGCCGCAGCTCCTGTGGCCATAGCAGCCCGGAAGGTGCGGTACGGAGCAAGACTCCACTCCTCTTCCTAAGTACTCCTCTCTTCAACTGATCCGATCAGAGATGTTGGTATCTTCCCTTCCTGTCAGTCCTCAAGGCCCAGTCTCTGCGACAACATGGAGACGCACCTGCACGAAGCAATCGCTCCCTTTTTCGACGGTCTCTGATCTGCTGAGGAGTCGACTTCGAATGCGCCTCGCTACAGCCTCGCTTTCGGGGTACACGCGCTGGCGCAAGAGTCCTCCAGAGGTAGATGAAACCATGTGGGTTTAGGGCTCAGCTTTTCCATGTTTGCCCATGTTCATGCGTCGTTGCGACAAGGGTTTGTGTCTGGGAACACCCAACATTCCCCAGCATCCTGACTTTGCCGGGCATAAAGACTGAGGAACATCGCTTTGTCCGAATTCACGGCTCCCGTATTGTTTAACAACAACAGATTCCCTGTGAACCTTGAAAAAATGGCATGCTTAACCGATCTTCATCGTTAGGTGCAATGAGCAGTTTATGACTATGATCCCGTCATTAGACCGCGAAGAATGGTTGCAGACACGTCTCCGAGCAAGAGGGGCGTCTGCCCTTTTGCATCCTTGACGTCTTGCTTCGCACCCGCCGAGATCAAGGCCCATGCAGAGCAGGCATGGCCCTTGCCCATCGCCTTTGAAGAGCAGAGCAAAATCCCTTCGAGGGACGGTTTCCACAGCTCCTTCGTCAAGAGTCTTGTTTGTACTGCTTTTTTGTCAAGGACAGGCCTCGTGCAGGGCCGTGCGCTGAGTGGTCTCCTCCGTGAGGTTTACATCCGCCCCGTGCTGAAGGAAGAGCTCCCTCAGCAAGAGGTGTGGAGCCGCCACGAGGCTTCAGGCAAAACAAAAAAAGCGCAACGATCGCCGCTGTTGATCAACGGGCAAGGACTCCCTTGTAGCAGACCACACCAAGTGACAACTCCAACAAGCCGGGATGCACCATGCCGGAGTTGCCCTGCGAAGCGGCTTTGTGGAGCAAAGGCTTCTTCTTCTCCTCCAGCACAGCCTGTCCAGGATGCAGTCCAATTCAGCAGGCAAGCCTTCATCATCGAACCATCGAACTAAATATCATAAATTCGGATCGGGCTGCCTTCCTTCGTCGTGAGAATGACAATAGGAGTCTTCGCATCGGCAACGGTGGCAGTAAGCAACATTTCCGCAGAAACAACTAGGCAGTTGCTACAGCGTTAGCACCTTTAGTGATCACGGAATGAGCAATACTGTTTGCACTGTGACAAGAAGAATTGCCTCTGCATCCTTTCCAGCCCATTTGAGTGTTTTCCGACACTCCAGCTCGCTGTTGGCAGCTACATCGGCAATGAGCTGTCGTTTGATCTCGAACACCCTGTGCCCACTCGACTCCTGGCACAGCAAGAACCAGGCAATGTCACATCAAACTTGGCATCTGGATGCAGAGGCCTTAATGAAGAGCATGTACTTGGTGGTAAGCTGCAGCTCGCAGACCAACTTGCCTGTGGCGGAACGAACTCGACACACCAAAGCCTGGGATCAAGAACAATTGCAAAGGCGGGAAGGATGCCTTGCACTCGAAGTGTCAGCTGGAGGTCGCGGTATCCACCATCCAGTGGAGTTTGATACCTTCCCCACATCCCTTTAGAGACAAGGGCTGAAAACACCTTCTATAGAGCTACTGGGCTTGTGGCCGGTCGTTGAACTCTACGATTTCCACGTTTTCGTCCTCGTCAGCCGCAACATGTGCCACGTTGCAGTCCCTCGACCACGCTGCAGCCGTGCGTCCTCATCGATCAGCTTCAGTCCGTCGTACAAATCTTCCAAGTTCTCGTAGCTGAGCGTGTCTCGAACGATGTCAGTAAGTCGGTGCCTGGCTTCGATCAACAAGAACCCAAATCCATCATCCTGTAAATATGGTCGAGGCCCTCCTCTTCTTCGAGCACTCTACTGCACCGGACTTGAACTAACCGTGACTAACCAAGTTCAAAGAACTTAGCACCGGGTGTGTTTCCGACCTGTGGTCTGCCCAAGGCAATTTTCGTGGCCAGTTCTCCTGCCACCAGTTTTCTGCAGTGTACCTTTTGAACACCAGGACTGGTTTTGAGATAGTTGGGTGATGGCAAACAAGACTAGCTTCAAACCCCGCGACAGTGCAGGAGACAAACCTTGCATGCCCTGGAGACGCCGCACTTCCGTGATTTCGTGGCCCTTCACACCAAGGCACATATATGCAGGCAGTGACTCGGCCCCTCTAAGTGTAGCTTTTCCCTCTGGATCCGTATCTGCACTCTGAGAATGTCGTCCAGCTCAGCCTGCAAGATTGGAAGCCCAGGCGTGCTCAAAAGCGCTCATGGACACCTTCAACTGGTTGCAGAGAAAGACACTAAGACGGAGAAGCATCGTTCGCCGTCGTCGTCGTCTTGTTTGCTGCCGTCGTCATCGCTGTCGTCGTCGTCGCTGTTGCTGCCATTATCTTCCTCTCTGCTGCTGCCGTCGTCGCCGTCGCCGATACCGTCGCCACCGTCGCAACTCGCATCAGCATCGATCACAACATTATGGTGTCACTTGCATCCTCCCAGCCCGTCCCAGCAGACATGAAGAGAGCGGCGAATGCCAAGCGTTTGGGAGTTCTTCGCTTTACGCCTCTTGTTCCTTACCTACACACAGGACTTCAAGATAACGTCATGCTCTCAGAGCAAGCCAGCAGAACCATTCGATGTTGCCGGCACTGTCCACGTACTTAAACCTTGCCTTTGATTCGCAGCCTCAGCTTCTTGCACACGTGTTTGAAATGAGTGGGGGAAATCCGGATAAGCGGGAAACCGGCCACAACAACACGCACCCTTGTCGCAATCGAGCAGCGTTCTTTGCCTTTCAGGGGAGGCTTTGCACAGGTACCATGAGTGGCTGTCGCGACCCTGTCGACAAGGTCGAAGAAGTGGTGCTTGTGCTTGTGCGCAAACTCAAAGAGCTTATCCAGCGTTGGAAAGAAGGGCTGAAAATTTACCTGGCACGTGTCCCGAGCACGTCGGTTTAGGTTGCCGTCACGATGCAGTCCCACCAGCCCGCCGTGGCCTTAACGCTGCGTGCGGCGCGCTCGCCGGTGGAAATGACATCTTTCTGCTCCTCGTGCAAGCCGTGCTTGCTCTGCAGCTCCTTGCCTGACTGGTACAGGAGGTGGGACGGGGACAATGACAAAAGCTTTGCAGCTATCGGAGTAGCATCTCTCGCTAAGCCAAGGCACTGAGTTGCCGAAAGCTCCTCAGCTTTTCCTCCCCTCCGGAGATCTCCAGCGCCTTCGCGTACTTGGCTGCTGCACCGTCTTCTCGATCCAGGAGCACGATGTTCTCGTCGTACTTGGAGTCCGCGAGGCCGAACTGTTCAAGGGGAAAGCACGAAGGAGGGCTGACATTGGCTTGCACGAGCACCGTTGGGAGGCAGGGCAATCGAAGGCAAAGGAAGGAACGAATTATCTTGTGGCTTCGGCCTTCTCACGGAGTGACTGCTTCGGCGCGTGCTCTGCCTTGGGACCCGTCTCCTGACAGCATGATGGGGAATCAGCAGCACATAGCATCACCGATTGCAGCGGTGTCATCCCGGCCTGGGTGGCACCCTCGGAGCCCATGCCCGGGTCCTTCAGCAAGCTGGCTACAAAGGACTCCGGGCACGGATGCAATGCAACCAGTGCCTGCTTGGCGCTGGCGGCTCCCATGCCGGTGCGAATGCCTCAAGAGGCAGCCCCGCCTGCCCTCGAAGATCAATGAAGTCGGACGCCGGCTTCTTTCCCGGTCTAGTCTAGCTCCCTTTGCCACGTGCATCCATGCCACTGGCTGCCACTTCCTCAAATTTGGAGTTCAGAACTTCCAGCCTTAGCAACTTCCAGTCGCTGAGAACGAAGTTGGCTCTGCTTGAGAGCGAACTGGAAGAGATCGGCATCACGGGTTTGTACGGATTCACGATTGAATGCACGACACCTGACATAGCTTCCGTTTTCCGGCTGCTATGCCAAGGGTGCGGCATCCGTGCTTCCAAATGCTCGCCCAAGCGCTGGACCTGATCAGCTGACCGACGGTTGCGGCGCTGTGCGAGCCCAAGATCAGACGCGACATCACAAAGTCCAAAGTCCAAAGCAGCAGCCGTGGCAAGAATCCACAAACTCTTCTTCACGACATACGAACTCCCACATCCTCGGCGTAAAGAGCCTGGCCTTCTTCTCAATTTGCTCCACAAGTCGCACCTGTGGCAGTGCGTCACGGGTAATGACTAGAACGAGACCTCTGACACTTCAAGATGCAATCTTCAAGCTCGAGCTGCAGGTAACAAGATCCAACTCGCAAACCTTGTGACAACTGCACCTAAAGCCTGAACCCCAAGATCCATCCAAACACTGCAAGAATTTCGAACTATGAAGACGACTGGCCTGCACGGCCTCCAGCGATGTCGTTAGATCTGCCGATGTCCCGCCACCTCGGCAGCCGGCTCTGGCGGCTCGCACGACTCGTGGTGCAGTAGCACTTCTTGGTCCTGCTGCAGTCATGGTGTCATGAAAGGTCTTAATGCATTGTAACAGGATACCCAGGGTCTGAGAAGTTCTGCTGGCCAAAGCTTCGATAGGTGGAGGAAACTGACTCAAACGACAACTGCTGTTGAAGATCTACCCTGGGTGTCCCGCACATACGAGTAAATCTTCCACGCGCAGCATCGGCACAAGCGAAGTCTAAGGGAGCTTCCTCGTTGTCCTAAACAGCCTCCTTGGCCTGAGGAGCGTGCGCATCGTGCCCACTTCGGAGACCAGCTGCGCGACACAACAAAGAAATGAAGCGACTCCAATCGGGTTCCAAGCTGACTGAGTCCTATAACGTTAAAACGTAGCACTTCACAGACCCTGCTCAGATAGTTGCAAACAACTTCCCTAAACCCCAAACCCCCTTCAACCCTCAGGCACCGCCGCCGCTGTAGCCTTCCAGGCGCTCACGGAGAGGAGCCCGCCTCCGAGCTCACCGCCTGCGAGGCCTCCGGCTCCCGCGCCGACACCTCCAGAGAGTCAAGCCCGAACTCCCCGAAACCTCACGAGCTGAAACTAGAGTCCAAAATATAAAATGTAGCATCGATCATGCACAACCTATAAATGTACAGGCTAGAACAACTACATAGATTCATAGATACTATAATGTAATCTACCATCCATAGAATCCATAGAATCTATGGTGGATATAACGCACTATCATAAGATGCAATATAGAATACTTCACAGGTCCCTTCACAGGCCGATGGCGGTCCAGTTTCAGAAGCTGCTCCTCGTCGAAGCTCTACATAGCACGATGGCAACGGAAAGACAGGGTGTAGGGTTTTGGACAAGCAGGTAAACATGTGCCAACATCCAGATGTCAATCCTTGGCCACAAAGCCGCCGTGTGCAAGGGCAAGCCCCCGAGACCCTCGCCCTGAAGAACATCGCAAGGTACACCGAAGACTGCTAAAGTGAAACAAACAAGGACAGCTGCGATTCGACTACCTAGCTCTCGGAAGGAACTCAAATGCAAGGGAACATGTCCGCAGCACATCCCGACCCTCTAGACCCAAAGCTCTGAACGCTGCATATGAACTCCTAAACCCTAAACCCCACTCAACCCCAGAGTTCTCAAGATCACCAACTCCTAAACCTAAACCGTCCCTGGCACTCTGGACTTGGGGTCGGCCTTTGCGTCGCCAGTCAGCACTTCACCCTGCAGGCAAGAGAGCTCCTGAGGGGCTGTAGTATTGCATTGAAGTATATTCTAGTAATCTAGTGCATTTTATCTGTCATATGATACATATGTCTTTTGGCATGGTATGTGCTCCTAGGAGCTCGTGTTCGGAGTTTCATCGAAGCCTTCATACGACACTGAAGGGTATGTCTAAAACATCATGTTGGACGTAGCACTATGGCTTCCTCCGCATGCACACAACCTCTCGGTGCTCCAACCGGACAATCGAAACGACTCGAGCAAAGAACCGACACCTCTCTTTGAACTACCAGCACAGTACAATTCCTGCCCCCGAAGCTCCTGCTTCAGGGCTCGGTTGCGCTGTCGGAGGGAGATGTTGTCGCTCTCGTGACTCGGAGCTCGCTGGCGGAGCCAACGCATCATGAAGGATTCCGGATCCTGACCACGTGTTGATGTGTGGTACTTTGACATTTACCCCACCAACCCAAGGGGACGAAACGTTGAGGTCTCTGAGACTGGGGATCACTTTGCTCAGCCTACCTCCGGCATCGCACCCAGCACGTCTCTGACGAGCTCCATCGCCAGGGGCTGCACCGTCGTCACGAGATACCGCTCCTTCCCAACATTCCAAAAGCCCTTGCTTAAGGCTATACTATACTATACCTTGACTGCAACTAGGGGGTCACTCTTTCATTTCAGGGATATTCCTGAATTAAGGGTTTCGGGAGTCTTTGGTCTCACTGATCCAGACAGCATGGCTGGAAGGGCGAATACTCACGACCACAGCATCCAGCGCGACATGGGCGGTTGCCACCCCCCCTCATGCTGTTTCCGAACTTCCGTGGCTTGTGTTGCCATGACCCCTCGGCTGTCTGCGGACCTTGCAACTCTTTTTCACATGAAGATGCTGCCACCTCCAAAAGCACTTGAGCATGACGATGACGATGGTAAGGACGACACTGATGACACTGGAGAAGAAGCAGGACAATGTAGTGCGGATGACGATGACGTTCGTGGAGAAGATGATGATCATGACGATGACGATGGCGACAACGATGATGATGATGATGATGATGATGGCGGTGATGGTAAGGAGGGTGAGCAAGAGCCGTGGTGCAACCCCTCTCCTTCGGATCGGCCTGCTGGGCTTCTCGTGACGAAGGTTCGGACGCTGCCGGCTCAACCTGTTGGTTGTCAAAGCAGTGAGAGCGCGAGAGTCACTTGGACGTCTCTCTGCTCAGGGCTTGGGGAGAAGACTCTAGTATGTCACACTGCTGCTGAGGTGGAAGCTTCCAGGCGGTGTCATCCGACGAGGAAGTCTTTTCTTTGCTATCCGCTTCTTAGCCGCTACCTATAAGTCTACAAGACCTGGCAAGCTTCACGCAAAGCCATTTCACCAACAATCAGAACGAATAGCGAACGTCCGAGACGAAGAAACTGCTGTTGCAGTGGATGTGAGAACAGCTGTAGATCCGCGACGGAATAACATGACATGCACTCGCGCATGCACGGCTTCCAGCTCACCCGCGGACGACCAGTTCGGACCGAGACTGGCCCGCGAGTGGAAAGCGAGGCCGAAGGCAAGCACCCGAACTAGTCTCACAAGTCGCACTACACACAGCCTTTCTTCGAGCCTCAAGGTTCTCCGGTGTCTCCCGGTATTCAATACTGAGTATATGATGTACTCTGGTTGCCGGGCTCGAGAACTCCAGGAGATTGCAGTTGAAGCCAGCTTCTGGAGGCTAAACCAACACAACCAAAAGGAAGCACTCACAAAGCTGATGAAGCCCCGTGCTCTCCGAGCAAGCAGCAACCCTCCCTCGGCCATGAAACACTGAAAAACTGAGGGGGTCCTTCAGCCCACATCCGGTCCGAATCCGAAAACCCAGCTGGGCACGTTCCTTCTGGCCACGACTTCCTGGGAAGCAGACCTCCCAACAGCCCAAACACCCCACAACAGCCGGGATCTCCACTACGACAAAAAACTCTGCCAGAATCAAAAGGTACGCCCAAAAGACCACCACATGCCAAAGATAGCCCCACAACCCGTCTAAACCCTAAACCCTTTCGCCCCAAACTCGAGATGGCCTCCTCCGGGGCCTTTCGGGCATCCCTGGATTCCTCGGAAGCGGGAGCCTGAGAGCTGGGAGAGCTCGGGCTTCCAGGCTTTGGAGTTGAGCTTCGAGCGTGGGTCCTTGTTAAGGGAATTATTTGAAGATATCCTAATGTGGATCTATAGTACAGTTAATGAATATGGTTTCCCTATCATGGTAACTTACATTAAATGTCCTTAACAAGGAGCCAGGAATGTGGGGTCCGGGGGCTTGAGGCTTAGGGTCTAGGATTCCCGTCGGGACTTTACGAGTTTTCGTCTTGGAAGTTGTGGGATGGAAGGGTCAAGCTAACGAAATCTGTGGTGAAAGTTTACCTATCTGCTGCCATTGCCCTCGTGTTCAGGCGTTAGGGCTTTGAGGCATGTCCCACCCAATTTAACAATCAATATATGGGATCAAAGTACTTTCTGTCGCTAAACTCCTCGGATGATTTCCGGAAGAAAGTGGCCTTGCACAACATTCCTTCGCGACCAGTCTCGCCTAGCCCTAATGCGACCCTGAGCCTTATACATCCCCTATAAGACCCCTGCAAAAGACAATGCAATAAGAACGGAAAACGATAAAAGCCCACTACAAAGACGCTGTACAACCCTACTAGTATCGAATACAAAGAAACTTACACAACCCTCATCACCTTCCCTAGGTTCTGGGTGCTGCGCGCTCTGCTGCGATTTGGGCATGCCATTCCGCATAGTTGATGTCACAAGGAATAATACCTAAATCTAGTTTTTCGAACCCTACCCTTCAAAAGTTCAAGGTCTCTGGGCTGCGGCAGGATCTTGGCACCGCGTTACTGTTAGTGTTCGATGACGTTAAGAGACTATGAACACGCTTGGATCCGTGCGGAAACCTTGGTCACGGAGTGTGGGCGAACAAAGAGCCCGTGCCTGC